TATTTCAGAGCAGGCATGCTTATGCACTGTTACTGGAATACAGGTGAAACACAAATTCATGGGTACAACAAGTATTACCTTGACAATGAGTGGGAAAGTTACCGGACTCTTGAGACGCGACCTGCAGAGTGAAATAGGGATGCCATTGTTATTGTCTTACCAAAGAATCAAGTCTTGAAGTTTATTCCAGAAGAAAGATTATCAGAAAAGGTTTAGGGGAGTTGAATACAGACAGGGATCTTGTATAATCAAGTCAAGATAATGAAGACGATATATTTGGAATTAACAACATGATATAATAATACTTAAGTAGACACAAGAGAAGAGGGCAATTGAGTAGTTGGGAAATCGTGAAATGGTCAAATTGAATCGAATTCTATGAACTGGAAACTTGGGAAGGCCTGTAACTGTAAGAAGAACACGTTACGATGAGAGAGACCAAAGGCGACAAGAAACAAGGTCAATTCTTCAAGTGCATCAAATCAAAGTTTGGAGGAATGACGAATTGTCATGGACAACAGATAACATTACACGAAGTGCAAAGACAAAAGAAAGAAATCACATCATCGTGTACAAATTGAATCGAATGGAATCGATTTGAATTCTTAGAAACAAGGTTAATTCTTATTCAACAGAAAATAAAAGAATATTAACAAGTAATTCCTGACCTGATGAATAATTTGATAAAAAAAATTATAAGACAGAAAGCAAACCCAGATGAGAGATCTCAGGCAGGTAACCTTGGTGGGGTGGGTGGCCGAGACGCCGGAAGGAAGGACGGATGGGTTTCTCAGAGAAAATGGTGATTTGGAATCCACTGAGTTTGTCGTCTCAGCTCAGCTCCGTCGAACAAGGTAACATCCATCCATCAAAATTCCAATCCAAGAGACCAAGACTTTGCAGCAAGGAACTTGTTCCCTTGTTTTTAGTTTATTCTTTTTCTTTATTCTTCGCTTTTCAAGATGGGTTTGGCTGAGCCGCTTACTATTTCCGATGTTTAAATGTAAATTTGAACCATATTATCAGTAGTTATTGTTTACTCACCTCTTTAACGTAAATAATATTATGTGTTAAAAAAAAAAAAAAAAAAAAAAAAAAAAAAAAAAAGATGCGCTGGGTTGAGGTTCTTGGGCTCAACTCTTACTCTCAAATGGGATTACAATAACAATCTTGGAATGGGCTATTCTTACTACTTGTTTTGCCTGCTAAGAGACAAGCTTTCCTTTTTATTTACTTTTTTTCTTCTTCGTAAAAATTAAGGGCATGTTTGGTTGTAGAAAATAAGAATGCATAGGATTTTATTTAATTTTTCATCATATGTACATATCTATTAAAAAGGAAGTGATTTTTGAACTCCATTTCTCCCCTGCATTCCTCCATTTCTTTTTCTAGCCTCTGAACTGAATATATTAAAAGAGAATCAAAAGACTGAAACATGATATAAGCAAGAAGGATTTGACTACAAAAGGAAAAAATAAAACGTGTGAAAATCACTACCTTAAAAAAAAAAAAAAAGATAAATACATCATTAGTTTAAGGAGAAAAAAATGATAAATACATTTGTTTGCTGACTCTATGCTTCTAGTCTTGGGGAAGGTTCTATACCCCACGTATACATAGTAACTGTGCATTTTGTTTACAGCCGACGAGGATGCCAGCCACTCCAACACCAAGGGTTGAGTCCGAGTCATTCGGCCTTAGCATCAGACCCAGCTCAAAGCTGAAGGAGAGGAGAGGAGAAGAGAGGATAGGAGACAAGACAAGGAAAAGATTTGTTCTTGCAAGGAAATACTTTATATATCATTCCTTTTGATCACTGCTCAAGCCATGACAACTATAATCACAATGATGAGGATGACTCCAAATATCACCAACAGCAAACACGTCTGCCCAAATAACACAAATAATTAGTAACCTCTATGAATCCAATGCTTTATATAGTAATAACCGAAATAAAGAAATTAACCAATTATGTATGTCAATCCAGCCTATATATTGCACCCTTTGGTTAAAGTTTTTTATAGCAACTTAATCTTGGAGTTGAACACACAAAACAAGAGAAAACAGGAAACGGGTTCATGTGTTGGAAGGAAAAGAAAATTACCAGGGATGAATTAGATCTTTGGGTCTTAGATGCTTTCACAAGGTGGGAGGTTGCTTGCACGGTTGCAGCGTGGGAGTTCTCAATGTTCGCACCAATATCATCTGAAAACACACACATGTACAGACAGCGTCTTTCAAAGTAGGGCACACAATGTACAAGTGACTCAACAAACACAAATTCAATTTCTATGTAACAATGAACAGAAACTGGACTAACCGATTATAGCTCCTTGATCATGGACCAGGACAGCTAGATCTTGAAAATCTCATTAACCTCGCTGATCTGTTGTTGAATTTCTTGGATCCCTTGCTCCCTTTCTTCAATAATGGCTTCATTGAATGCAATCTCATTGTCTGCAAGTACAACCTCTTGTCTGCATACAACATATCAAATCTATAACTTAACCATGGATTCCAGTTGCATCACGATAGGCACTCAACATCAAAGGCAATAACTAGTTTTCAGGGCAAGTCCAAATTACTAGAGAACCTCATGCAGTTAGAAAATGTGTTTCCATAAAAAAAAATTAAGAAAAAAAAGGGAAAACATCTCCATGGGAAGAAGATACATTCATCTGGCCTATCAAAGCTCGCAAAACTATAAGATGGCTTAACACAATCCGTTTAACAATGTAATCGAGGAAATGGAGATCCTTTATGATCAGGCACAAAAGAAAAATCCCTTAACTAGTTAAGAAGGTATTTCTTTCCTTTTAAGGGAAGTGACTCTTTTACTTGACTATCTAGAAACTCAAAGATTTCTTTGGTTTTAGGATGAAAAATTTTCGTTCAGGGTATTATAGATAGAAATAACAGAAGTTTCTCAATTTATGGAAGTATATTAAGTTGCCCACCTTTTTTATTCTAGAAGAAGAGCTTGGTCTTTAGAACTCCTAGAAGAACTCATCTCCTGCTCATGGGCATGATAACTGCACAATATGATGAAAGGCATTGATGAGTAGAAGATGCAAGTAATGGAGAAAATTAGAGTTAAATCCTCGAGAAGAAATACGTAAACTTAGACGTGCAAGTTTACACTTTATAGAAACTCCAATGCTTGTGTTAAAGTGTGTTCCTCCCAGTAACAACATGTGATAAGATAATACCTGGATGGAAGAACATCTTTGGGAACAAAGGGAGCATATGTTGTTTCCCTTTCAGCTGCAAGCCTCTGAGCCTTCTGGAATTCTTTAAGTACGGCCTGGAAATCCTTTGCAAGCTTAGCATCCGCAATCTTCTTGACAACCTGCAGTTTGTCAGCCAAAAGGGGTGAAGTCCGATAATGACAACTTACATAGTTAGACAAGTAAAATGAATTGAATGCTTACAGTAACTTGGGCATGGTGATCAGTTCACTAGCTTGCTTGAGTTTTTCTGAAGTATCTTTCACCAACTGCCCAATATGCGCCCTTGTCTTATGCCTGCCAGTGCCAAGTGCCAATTTCCCATTGAGATAAACAGTGAATTAGGTTGGAACGTTGATAGCTCTCATTAACGTACAATCAATCAATCAATTAAGCAAATAATATGTCTAATCATACAAACCTAATAAGAAGTTGAAAAGAGGGGAAGAATTATTAAGAAGAAGAAAATGGAATATGAAAAGTAGTACTGACAGCTTGTCTCGGAGTTGAAGGGTGTCTCTCGGGGTGCCGAGGGAATTGACGAGGCGGTAAAAAGTGGATACGGCGGTGTTGATTTGGAAAATCCCGGCAGACAGGGCCTGGGACGGCTCGTAAAGATTTTGACTTCGATTTTGCTGCTGGTTCTGAATCGCATTCGAGTAAACGAAAGGTCGTCGTTGTTGGTGTTGCTGTTGGGGAGAAGAACCAGCCTCGAGATCTTGGAAACTCATTCTTCCTCCTTTTGTTCTTTGTTTCTTTCTGCGTTGCTTGTATTGGGGTTATGGGGGGTTATGGGGGTTGCGGTGTTTGGTGGTTTGGTGCAGTCAAAGACTCAGGAAGGAAATTTCGTTGGTTTGGTTTGGTTTGGTTGTTTGTGTTACAACTTAGAATAAATAATAGAGTTGAATCAGTCCAAATATCCAATCCAATCGCTTCTTCTTCTCCTCTCAAATCAAAATTCACCTCTACTTCAAAGGAAAGGACAGGTCAAACCATGCTATTCCGCAAGCAAGGAAGACTTATACGATAAATTTTCATGACGGATGACAAATGGTACATTACTCGTTTTAATGAAATTTGTAAAAAATTTTATTTTTTAAGTTATTAACTTTTTAGCACACATATTACACAATTTGTATAATAACACGTGGTCAGTGGCGAATCTAAGAAATAATATTAGGGGGTCAGTAAGAATAGAGCGCAAATTTTTTTACCAAAAATAGCATGCATATCTCAATTTCATCGAGTCTTGGTAGGCTTAAAGTCATTTGGAAAGACATATTGCACATATGTTAATGTATGCAAGGGGTAGCACCCAAGATATTCATAAACATTTACCGAGTTTTGGTAGGCCTGAAGTCAGTTGGAGATCGTGTATGAAACCAATTCTAATCTTCGAAAGGACAACACTCAAGGTATCAATGGACATTTAACGAGTCTTGGTAGGCTTTGAAGTCAGTTGGAGAGCGTGTATGAAGTCAACTCTCATCTTCGAAAGGGCAACACCCAAAGTATCCATGAATATTCACCAAAGTTTGGAGGGTCAACACCCAAAGTATCCATAGACGTTTACCGAAGTTTGGGGGGTCAGCTGACCCTCCACCTCTCAATGCATCAGTCACTGCACCTGATGTACCATCCCTTGTACCGATCATACTTAAAAATATCTCTGACTTAGACACCGACTCTCTCTCTCTCCCCAGTCCGCGGGTGGGACCCCCACCATACGACGTTGCTTTGTTAGTCAACGGACCACGGCACAACTGCTGTTGAAGGCTTGAGGCCTTAATTAATAAGCCCACAATTTTATAGCGTTGGATTGAGTCAGCCCAATTGGTAGCAACTGACTGCCTCATAAGTTAACACACTTTGCCATGCATCCCTCCCTCCCAAATAACCGTTTGCCCTCTCTCTCTCTCTCTCTCCGTGTTTTTCTTTCTTCTCTGGAATCTGTAGAATCAAGCAAACTGCAAACACGCCTTCAATTTGATGGAGGTCATTTTTTGTCTTCTTTTTTTTTTTTTTTTTTTTGTATATATACTTTTGTTCAGTTTTGTTGATTTCCCTGCTTAAATAAATATCGTTACCAAATTATAAAATTGGTTTTGAATGTTTGATCTACATTATGATTTTACGCTTTGTTTTTGTTCTTCATTTACAAATTTTGATGATTTCAGATAGAAAATTTGTTGTGGAATCTGAATTGTGTGAGTCTTTCAGTGCTGCTTGCATTTAGGAACACATCCCCTTATAACATTTTTGCTGGTTGTCCCTCTGATCCTCTCCCTTTTTCTACGTTTTGTTTGTTTTCTTTAATCCGATCCAATTTTTGGCACGGCCAAGTTGTAAATTTTCCAATCTCCAAACTCCAGTCACTCCACTTTCATGCTTACATGCATTCTCTCACACTTTGACATGACTGACAGATAAGGACATTGAAAGTTAGCAATGTCTCCCTAGCTGCAACGGAACATGATTTAAAGGATTTCTTTTCCTTCTCCGGTGAAGTTGAATACATTGAAATTCAAGGGTTGCTTTTTTTTTTTCTCCCTCCCTTTTCTGTTTACTCTTCTCTTAATTAAACACATTGTGACGCAGAAAGTTGAATTCTTTTCTTCTTTATTGCAGCGACAACGAGAGGTCTCAGGTTGCATATGTTACCTTCAAGGATTTCAAGGGGGCAGAAACTTCAGTGCTTCTTTCGGTCATTCACTTCTCAACGCTTTTTTAGTTTTCTTTTTCTCTTCTTGTCCTTTTTCCCTTCTTTTTGTATAACTTTTATTCCGGAGTTTGGACTATTTTTGTTGTAAACTTATGTATCTACTGGAATTTGGGGAGAGTCTGATATTCTGACACTCTTAATCAGTTTTGTTGCGATCTCGTCTGGTTTTCTCAATTATGTGTGTTATCTTTCAGGGAGCAACAATTGTCAATCAGTCCGTTACCATAGATCTGGCTCCAGATTACAAGCTTCCAGCTGCTGTGGCTTCAGCACTTCCGACTGTAATATTATTTTCTAAGGGCACTTTTCCTCTAACAACAATAATAATTGCTTCTGACGGTGTTCAGTTGTTCATCCTCCTCAGGCAACGGAAAATGTAAGTCCTGGTGGTGTGCAATCTGCTGTACACAATGCAGAGGATGTCGTGAGCAGCATGCTCGCCAAAGGATTCATTTTGGGAAAAGATGCGATCAACAAGGCAAAGGCCTTTGATGAGAAACACCAGCTTAGTTCCACTGCGACGGCCACAGTTTCTGCTTTGGACCAAAAGATTGGTTTCACTGACAAACTTAATGCTGGCACAAGCATGGTAAATGATAAGGTGAAGCAAATGGATGAAAGGTTTCAGGTTTCTGAGAAGACCAAGGTTGTGTTTTCAGCTGCAGAGCAAACGGTCAGTAGTGCTGGATCTGCAATCATGAAGAATCATTACATATTAACTGGGACATCGTGGGTAACCGGTGCTTTTAATAGGGCTGCCAAGGCAGCAACTGAAGTGAGCCAAAAGACAATTGATAAGGTTTCAGCTCAGGAAGAGGGTGGAAGGAAAGTGGAAGGAAGTGGTCCGGTCCATTAGTGAGCCAATCCTCCGACATCTGCCATGCTAGCTACTAAAAAGCAACCTTCCCAGCCTAGCACAGAATCAGGGGTTCATCGTCTCATTTGCGTAAGCTTTGAAGTACTGGCAAATATAATTGATACTTTCTTCTACAATTACACGGTTAGTAGCAGCAGCAGCAGTACCACTTTCCTGTTTGTTTGGAATTAGAAGTTGTAATTTAGAATAGGAGGGATTGCTGGTCCGTGTGATTTTCTTATGAATGACAATTTTGACGTTCTTTCGTTGCAGCTTATATAAATTCACACTACGCAAATACAGCTTACGTACAGCTTCAATTGTTTTATACATGTACCGGTTGTTTGAACAATACAAGCATACACACACATATCCAACGCAATTAATTAATATTTACAGAGCGTGTTGCAAACTTGCAAACGACTTGATCGAAGTTGTCCAAGCACATTAAGTTAATAGATTAAAAGAGAGAGAATGAAAAGAGCTTGAATTGTTGCTCCCAATAGTATATAGATAGCAGGGTACTCTTTCTATCATCGATGGATTCTGAATTCAAGTAGAATTCATCTGTTGCTGGTAGCGGCGGTAGTGTCTTACGATTATAGTAATATGGAGGTGTCTGATAAGGTGCTGGTGGTGTCTTAGCAGGTGATGAAGGTGGTGGTTTCTGAGATGGAGGTGGAAGCGAAGGTGGTAGCGGACAAGACATTCCAGAGAGAGAATCATCGCTGACCCTGTAAACGACGTGTATAAGCTTTAAATTAAAATCAAATAATTTGACCGATGCTTGGTGGTTCAAGTGGTAAGAAGCTTGTTTCCCTTAAGTTAGGTTTCGCGTTCGAACCATGTGAATGGATAAACCAGCATTGGGAGAGCTTGCCCCCCATATGGGATCCGACTCGGCTCAAGGGATTAGTCCTTGCTTACGTGCGGGATACCCTGGATTCATAAAAAAAAATCAAATAATTTAGAATCCATGTTGTATATAAAATGAAGTTACACTAATTTCAACTTCTTGTTTTTCTTTTAAGGAATAATGAGAAATTTTTTTATATATTCAAAATCAAAATTTCATTAAAATATGTCAAATTCAAACACGAAACTTCATGTGTAAAATGAAGCTATTAGCCAATTTTCTTCAAAGTTAAATCTGAATTATATTATTATGGCTAATTCAGTGTAAAACTTAACTCAATCTCATAACCCTTTAATGCAAATAATATCGTTTTTTAAATAAGAAAGTGCGAATAATATCATTTTTTAAATAAATAACAAAACAAATATTAAGGTAAAGCTAATTAGCTAGCGTAGAAGAGGGATAAAAAGGCGCATAAAGGCTGAAACTCCAAGGAAGGTGACTTAAGAATAAATCCGACTGATTTTATTCGCTTTAGAGAGTCGTTGCGCCTTGTCGTCTCAAGAGGAAGACTCCCAAACCCAAACCCACCCCCACTCATACTCGCAGAGAGACAGAGCTTCCTTGAGAATTCTCCTTCCTTCCAGAGACAAAAGAAGGAGGTTAGCAGGCACTCATTTCTCACTCTCTATTTTCTTATTTACATATTGTTTCCATCCAATATTAATCGGATTCATTTTCATTCATCACAACTGTTTCTGGTCTGGTCTGATCGATTCCTTTTTTCATAAATAGTACTTGCTTGTTTGCTGAGCTTGTTTGCTGAGAAAGGCGTAAGAAAAGTCATCAAACAAAAACAGAGAGCATAAGCAACTAAAATATGGATTGTTGACTTGAACTTGGCATATGGGTAGGGTTTTTATTTTAGGAATCTTTCAAGTAACCTCCTTGAATTGTTGTCTGTTCAGTTTGGTTGTCAAGAAAATTGAAGGCCAGAAAAGAAGGGGATTTCGAGGAAGCAAAGTTGCAGCTTTGCCAATTCATTTTAGAGTTTAAGGTCGATATTCCTCGCAGTTTTCTGCTTTCAATTTCATTCTTTTTGTTTTTGTGATTTCGCTGTTTCATGAGTTATGCATCTTTTGGGTTTTGAGTTACTCAAAGATAGATGAATATATCAACTTGACTTCTTATGTGATATTTTTCTTCGCAACAGAATTATATCCTTCCATCTTTGCAACACAGTTAATTAGTATTATCATAAAAAAAAATTTTGAAGGTTTTTGTTTAAGAGTCAAAAGGTCTGCCGCGATGAGTGACAATTTGATGGAGAAGGTGAGCGCTCTTGGTGAGCGCCTCAAGATCGAAGGGACTGAGGTCGGTCGAAAAATGAGCGCTGGATTTAGCTCAGTCAGCTTTAAGGTGAAGGAGCTCTTCCAAGGCCCAAACCAAGCAGATAAGATCGTTGAAGATGCCACATCAGAAGCACTCGAAGAACCTGACTGGGCTATGAATCTTGAAATATGTGACATGATCAATACTGAAAGAGTTAATAGTGTTGAATTGATTCGCGGATTAAAAAAGCGGATTATGTTGAAGAATCCTAGGGTCCAGTACCTTGCGCTAGTGCTGCTTGAAACATGTGTTAAGAACTGTGAAAAGGCTTTCTCTGAAATAGCAGCGGAGAGAGTTCTTGATGAGATGGTGAAGCTGATTGACGACCCTCAGACTGTTGTTAATAATCGCAATAAAGCTTTGATGCTGATCGAAGCATGGGGGGAATCGACCGGTGAGCTCCGCTATTTACCTGTTTACGAGGAAACATACAAGGTATCTTGTTTTTTTCATGACTAGAACATAGTTAAAGACAAATTCCATTTCTGTAACTCCTGAGTTTAGTTGGACTAGTACAAAGTACTTAAATATTTGATGGCCATCACAATTTGTCCTAAGATTCTTCCTATGATTTATGATGTTAGGAAATAAACAATTTAGCCATGGTACTAGAGAGAACAGAAATGAATTTAGCTGGCCAGGTTACTATTGGTAAGGAATACAACGCTAATGTTGAATAAGAAACTGAGTAACACTCAAAATTGAAAGTATACAGTAATTCAGAATTTACGTGGCTTTTATGCTACTATAATCCTTACCCACGGAAGACTTGGCGCAAAACCAAGTGCAGTGGCGTTCTAGGATTCATACATTAGTGGGATGAGGCTCTGATGTTGTTTTTTGGTTGTTATTATCCTTATCCACAATCTGATTTTCTCGAGCCTCCATTGCGTTGGGTGGTGCAGTTGTTAGATCTATATTTCTGATGTTTGAAGAAGTGGTTTCATGGTACTTAAACTTTTATGCTTGGACCACCTCAATTTCAGAGTTTAAGATCAAGGGGTATTCGGTTTCCCGGTCGCGACAATGAGAGTTTGGCACCAATATTCACTCCCCCTCGTTCAGTTTCTGCTTCGGAGTCAGATGCTAGTTTTTCCCAGCAGATTCCGGTTGAGATTGCTGCCCAAAACTTTACAGCTGAACAACCAAAGGAAGCATTTGATGTTGCAAGAAACAGTATTGAGCTACTTAATTCTGTTTTATCCTCTTCACCCCAACAAGATGCTTTACAGGTGATTTTTATCTTGTTTTCTCACTTGTATATCCTCTTTTGACTCCTGCATCTAATCTGTTAATATATGGGATTTTTGTCACCTACATTTTGTGAGATGCATGGAACTTTCAATATCACTACTTTTTTTTTGTGTTATCGACTGATCAATATGATTTTACTTGCTTTTTGATTTTTTAGGCAAGGCAGTTTTAGGGACACTACCTATATACTCAAACTTAAAATGGGCCTTTGAAAATAGGTGAATTTACTACTTAGCCTGTTCCATAAGACCATATCCCATCCAATCTAGAGCCAAGTGGTACGGGGTTGACCTTAGGACGATATCTTCTATGAGGACAGCCAGTTCAAAGCTAATTTAACTCATTGTACAATGTCAGCCCAACAAGGAATATGAAAACCTGATGCAATTATGATGCCGTATGAGGGCATATGTTTTCTTATGCAATTACGTATCTTTGTTCAAGAATAACTAGTTATGCATTTATATTTAGGAAATAAGAATTAGACCAAAAGAGAGATGGATTAAATGTTGTTGTCTCATTGGCAGGATGAGTTGACGACCACACTTGTACAACAGTGCCGTCAATCTCTATCCACTGTCCAGAGAATTATAGAGACAGCTGGAGAGAACGAGGCCTTGCTGTTTGAAGCGTTGAATGTGAATGATGAGATCCATAAAGCTCTATCCAAGTATGAAGAACTGATCAGGCCTTCAGTTGTTCCAACTGCGCCAGAACCTGCAATGATACCCGTAGCTGTGGAGCCTGATGAATCACCAAGTCATGCGAAAGAGGATTCCTTGATTAGAAGACCAGCTGCTTCTCGAGGTTTGGTTCATGCAGGGAGCAACGATGACATGATGGATGATCTTGATGAGATGATATTTGGCAAGAAAGGTGGAAGTTCATCTGAAGGAAGCCAAGATCCGAAGAAGCAGCAGACGCCAGCAAAGGATGACCTTATCAGCTTTTGAGATGGCTTAGATTTATAATTCAATATACTTGGACAGGAAAACTTTGCTGGTGTTAATACCAGGCTTTGTAGGTGTTGATTGTTGGAGACGTTGAAGTTTGATGTTTGAATTATTTCACCTTCATGAACATAAATGTCGGTCTTCTTTTTTTTTTTTCCTTTCTTCCCGTTCTTCTCAAGTAACCAAATTTAGATGCACAATATCTGATGGAGTTATACAAGTATAACACTCTGTATACTTAATTCATGAAGTATCTATGCAGTGGCCCTCATAGGTTCGATATCGTTAGGTGTATACATACGATCAGGTGTTTATCTCTGTTAACATGTAAATAATGACATAACTCACATGAAATCCACATGGGCTAAGGCTTCCTATTTTTCAAGTATGTTAAACAACATACTTCCTTGTTGACTACCGGAGCAAGTCTTTTATATTTTTCTCTCGTCACGTGATTCACGTGATTGTGAATTTATTTAAAGGACACAACTAAACTATGGTTCAAGGAAGACTCTAGCGTGTAGTAGATAAACAAGTGGGAAATTTGATTTGGAGTTGCAGCTAGGCCTGGCATTTTAGACCCAACCCGTTAACCCGACTCGATCTAATCTGTTAATATTTGTATTTGGGTGGATGCTTAACGGGTCGTTTTGGGTCAACCCGTTAGACCTGTTAGGATCCGTTAGTTGAGGATATTTTAGTAATTTTAGTAAAGTCTTAATGACAAAAAATAAACTTTATGAAAAAAAAATAATAACAATTGTTAACGGGTGAAACAGATGACCCGTTAGCTTAATGGGTC